AGGAAGTCTAGGGGGCCTAAATAAAATCGGGAAAGGTAATTTAAGATACCTAGAGAAACACTTCATTAAATCCAATTTAGAGGGCCAAATCCCATGCCTCCTAGGTTATACACTAAAAGATGCTGTCTGCAGGAGGCTTCTGGTTAACAGGGTAAAGAAAGGAGAGATGGTAAGAGAAAACGCTCTGCAAACCATGACATCTTTAAAAGGGAGATAGAGGGGAGGACAATCATGAAATTAGAGCTTAGTCTGATCTGAATTTCACTTTCAACTTACATCTATTAGACTTGGAGAAACGATATATGATTTATACCCATCAAAAAACAAACTTGGATTTAATTTCACAAGACATTCTTATGAATAATCTATGAGAGTAAGACTAGTTATGGAACAAAAATGTTGGCCTTTCAGGAACAACCTACAAAGCAAAAGCTGTGGTGCACTGAAAGCAGGTAGTACCTACCTCGTGGTTTAGAATCTGGGACTTGAAGTTAGACTATGTTTGGTTACTGGCTCTACCAGGTACTCCAGAAGGTTAAGCTGGCCACCAAACTCTCTGAGTCTTATAATGGTGACAACCACACTTCCTACCCTCACAGAGTCATTGGGAGCAGAGAGAGAAGTCCACTAAAGTTCATGAAAGTAAGTGCTTGGTAAATGTCAGCTGCATGTATGATGATCCAATGGTGATGCATTAACCCTAGATGCACTGTATTCAACTATTATAGTAAGGACTCTGGAAAAGGAACTGAGACCACAATGATGGAATCTCCTGGCCATCCTCAATCAGGTGTGGCTGTTAACAATGTTCGATGACCAGGCTTCTTAAATGCAGTCACCTTATAACAAAGTCATGGTGATATTCAACAATTACAAGAGACCATGGCATGCCATAACTGATTCTTGAGATGACTGGTGTTCATACAATCAGAAATGGTTATCACAATTGGCTATGAGAACTGACTGATACCTTATTGGTCACTTGGTCCAATGGCTGATGGATTTTTTTTCAGGGGCAGAATCCATTTTGTAAAAGAAATCTTACTTGTAAGCTCAAAAATGGAGTATCTGGTTGCTACAGGGCAAAGCCCATGATTTTTTTAGTTTTCTTTTGTTTTGGTGGGTACAGGGCACATATTCTGAAGATGCTGCTCCAAGTAAACCACCCGTCTGCCCTGAGTGAGACACACAACCATCTTCTAAAGAAAGAGGATCCCTTGAACTCCCTTCCAGCCTCGAAGGCAGTCTTCATCGTGACTTGTAACAAAAAGGAATACCTATTCTCACAAACAGGTCCAAATGTAATTACTTCTGTTTTTATTTAAACAAAAAAAATTTTTTTAAAACACAGAATCTGTGACTCTTAATAGAGGAAAAAAAAGTAACTCACAATAACTTCCCTAAAGGATTCCTGGTCACTGATCGTCTT